TGCAGCAAATGGACTGATCCAATATGGTGGACACTGAAGGGGGGGGGCTGAGACACAATATTATAAGCGTTCTGATGGCATTTTACCAAAAGTATTTTTATCAAAAACATAATTAATGTGCAAAAATAAAGAATAGTTGTATTAACCATACAGGTAAACAGAGGTTTATGGGGCCCCCAGGAACTTGGGGCCCTAGGCACCTGTCTAGTATTGCCTAATGGTAACTCCCCCCCCGCTTGGGTATAATGTTATGACTGATATTTAGTCTGCTGTGAATCGCTGTGATCTAAAGAGTCTAGACTTTAATTGGGATGATGGTTTTGATTTACTTGTTTTTCAGCAATCGGAGGAGAGAGAAATACTGCGGCGAAACAGAGGAATAAAAGATACTTTAGATCAAACGTGGCTGTAGTTTGTTACATTTAAATGTATCACTTTTTCTTAAATAAAATTTATGCGATGGTTGAAAGTATAGATTTTGATTAATCAGACATGTTTTTACCTTCATACAAGGAGAAAAACTGCATTAATTTCTTATCAAAAACATAATTAATGTGCACAAATAACTAATAGTTGTATTAACTATACATATAAACAAGAGTTTTATGGGGCCTCCAGGAAGTTGGGGCCCTAGGAAACTGCCTAACTATCAGGTAGGCGTCACATCTGTATTGCTGTTAACTGTTTTGAATTTTCTCTGGAGCAAAACGCAGGGACAGACATCAGACCTGTTAACTACTGAAGATTGTTGGCGTGAAACAATCAGAGCGGCTTTAGGGGACGATGTCAGCCTCATTGTTTACGGCATTAAAATGTAACGCATCGCTCATCTGCGACTTTCTCCAACATTCTTTTATTTTCACTCGCTCAAATAAAGTGTAAAAACACAGAGTCTGTCACTCCAACCTAAACGCCCACAGCGGACGCACCTTATAGATGTAGCGAACAGCATCAGCCGTGCTCCAGTGGGACGGGCTGACTTGAATGTGAGTCTTCACCACATCTGCAGGCTGTGTGGCCAGAGAAGCCATGACGCCTGCCACCACCCCACAGCCGAAGTTCACCAGTGGGGCGTACGGCGCTGATGTCACCTCTGAGGAAGAGGATGTCGAACATGAGAACTCCAGAGGTTGGTTTGTTTATGCTAACTCTGTGCCGTACTCACCCTGAGGCAGCGCTCGCTTGGCCTGGCTGTAAAACATGACGTAGATGCCGGAGAAGGGAGCGTCGCGGAGCAGCGTAGCAGTCAGCCCAGAGAACAGCGATCTGACTCCCTCCGTCTCGTACATGCTCCTCAGGGCCCCAGGAACACTCGCATAGTTATAGAAACCACTCTGAAACACAAGCCGGCATCTTCTTTACTGAACGTTACGACGTGTCATCGAATAAAACCGGACAGACTAATGTTAAAGTTAGAAAATACAGTTTTTTTTCATGTAGTTCTACTAAATGATAAAATAATAACTTCTATCCGATATCATCATCAGAGGATATCCTAGTGTTTATCATCAATTACAGGATGGATTGAAGCATCAATATAGATCAGGGGTAACTAATTAACAATCAGCAGGGTCCGAATAAAGTGACCCGAGTAAAGATCTGGAGACATTTTAAATTATAATCTGTTACTTTAAACGGAATTTAATACTGAAATAAAACAAGGTTTGGTTTATAGACAATTTGATTCACATATTTTCTCAATCACCTGAACTGACGGTTTGTTATTTTCTTTTTTTCATGTTTCATGCATCCATGTTATACATTGAAATTTTAAATAAAAAATATAAGAAATTTAATTTTTTTTTTCCATTTTAAAAACTAAATTGCTTTTTGAGTAGAGAACAACAGTCGTTCAGCTATAGAGACAATTTCCTGACTCACTTTTTTTTTATAAAACACCTGAACTGACTGTTATTTTTTTTCTTTCTTTTTTCTGTCTTAATGTTGGCAGTGGGCTTTAGGCTGCCCTGCAAGGCTTTAAACCTGGGTTTAACCGGAGACTAAGCCATTCTCAAGCACATATCAAGGAGCTCATT